GCATGTACGCACGCACGCACGCACGCACGCACGCGTGTGTGTGTATGTATGTATGTATGTATGTATGTATGTATGTATGTATGTATGTATGTATGTATGTATGTATGTATGTATGTATGTATGTATGTGCATGTGTGAAAGGTCCAAGTGTTTGAACAAAAATACAGTATTTCCGGGTAGGGTAAATTTATACTAATTGTTTGCATTAGTCCAAATAATCATTCAATCAACAGTCCTTACAAGGAAGGACCTTGCCAATTTTATTCAGAATTAAATATATTGATTTATTCATATAATTTTTAGGACACCCAACATGGATCAACATATTACTCATGGGTCGGTTGTGGCCTAAAATAAAAAAATTCCATGGTTACGGAGATATTATTTGCTATTTAACACAGAGATCCAATTTTTCGTGATACACAAACTACACTATGAAATGGTTTCATGATGGACTAGTGATCCAATAACTTAGATTGTTATTATCCAGAAATACACCACTTCATAGCTTTATGTCATATAAGGATTTATTTTTTCAAAATACGATTATATACATAAACCAGATGTTTGGAACACAGTATCCATGCACTTGGATGTTTCTAAACGCTAGTAAGGCATTTCACACGGTCCTTCACGTTCATACCCTATTTAGATTCTAAGGCAAACAAAACAATTTAGCCTTGCACTTTTCGATGATAGAGGTTCACGTCACAGACTTCCTTTCCACATGACTTTGCCCTGATGTCACGCCCACATGACTTTGCCCTGATGTCACGCCCACATGACCAGCTTGCCAAGTACATACTCTGCACGAGTTCATACATGATTTGCATGACTGCATTGTTTGTGTGTGTGCATATATGTCACAAGACATAATATTCGAACATGAGATATTTTAATATGGGTAAAGTGATGTCAACCTATAACTATTTGCATTGACCAATTAGGTCATTGTATTTTTTTCGTAGCAAAGAGAGACTTGAATCTTGCAAAAGGATGCATTAAATTTTGTCTTCTAGCCCCGATTATCAAAGGACAAACAGATTTAATCAGGAAATATATAAATTTGGCGTGGTGGATCTCAATTTGTATATAATAACTCAGGAAATATTAATTCAAAAATGGCTTAACTCTTATATTTGCTTAATTTTGGAGAGTTCGATCAGCTTTGTTCCCATCAGCCTCTTAACTTCAGGCACGAGGATTTTTATTTACTTGTTAAGTGTGAACAGTGGTCGAAAGAGTTACGACACTATCAGAATATTACTGGTTCGAGTCCAACTCGTTGAAAATAATATTTCTCCTAATTGTCGAAGAACCTTCAATGCTTGATTGAGTTGTACATGAAAAATGAGAGTAAACTTGGCAATGCCAGTTTTAAATAACAGGCATGCATACAATCTTTGAGATGTACTTCGCTTGAATAAAACATCTGGACATTCTACCATATCATTTGGCAGGCTATGGACGTATCTGGGCGAGAATTGAATTCAACGTAATTGGTATGGACTTCACACACTAGTTTTACTGAGTGCTTCATGCGAGGCAGCTTGCCATTGATAGTGTGCCTATGATCATAAAGATTTCAATTTACAAGCTCGACATGAGATGTTTCTTTTCCATATTGAATTAATAATACGGTATATATTATGAAAGCGGAAATCTACAAGTAGATGAGTTTACTATTTTGAAATGGGTTATGATGGTATCTATGCTGACAACCAATGGAGGGTTTCTAAAAGATTAAATCACTATTTCGCTTAAATACGTCATACATATTTGTCAAGGAGGCTCAAAAGATATTGCATGATGTTTCGAACACAACATCACGACTAATTAGCCCAGGCGCCAGATATAAGTACAATCATGAAAGTCATCATTTGATATTGTTCAAGATAATTGCAAACATTTGACGTTAGCCGAGTTTCCAGTGAATCAATTTTGAGACCAAGACTACGAGTACACCACTAGTGATAACGAATAACACATATATATATATATATATATATATATATATATATATATATATATATATATATATATATATATATATATATATATATAGATATTTATTTATTAATATAATGACATTCTAATGAAGCAGGAGCAATAGATAAGATATACGAATAATCCAATACATTTAGAGCTATTGGATTTGATGCTACCAACGAAAGTATATGGGTTGGAGCAGTCCTAAGCGATGGATAATTTGATCTGATCTTGACCAACAACGACTTCAACTATATTTTGTATAAGTCGGAAGAGTTATTTGATCTTACAGACTTTCAGAAATGCGTCTTATAAAAATATGAATAATGTTGTGTTCAGAAACCTATTAACGCCGATCTTTTCTTTGTCAGTATCCTATTATGAAGACAATCGAACGTGTTAAAGATAATAAAGAAGCCAAGAAGGCAACTGTGGATTATATTTAGCTCTTTCCAAAAGCGATTGTCAAATGCAACAATATAGAGGAGATCTTGGAGAAACTGTTGGTGTGATCGCAAAAGCCACAATTATACTTGATGAAGTCGTCAGGGAGGCAATCGGAAAGCTTCTATAACAACCACCGCTAGCATAAGAGTCAGTCATGCAAGTCCCACAGGAACAGTTTAAGTAACGAGACTGCCAGATGTTCTTTGAAAGTCATATATATGCCCCCTTTAACATTTCCTCCAATGGAAAGACAAGGTGTTGAAAATTTCACCGAAATCATTGGTAACACAATGCCCTAATGTTTACTAATTGAAATTAACGGCTATAAACTTGCCAACACCGAGGCGTAGAAATAATATTATAACATATTTGATACAATCTGGAGACTTAAACGAAAGGTGAAATAATGCTTGCAGAATTGATGAAAATAAAGAGAAGGGAAAACCTGTACAACAAAGTTCCACGCAGCTAGCACGATCACACTAACTTGATCACAAACCCAAATTTGCAGCGCAATCAAACCTGAACCTGGCACTTGCATAAGCACAGCCACTCGAACCAAACACATCCATTTAGATATATTCTGGAACAAATGTTTAAAGTTAAAGCTTCAAGAAAAGCGGAACCGAAGGAATGAAAAGACCTTGGTGGACTGTGTGCCCATAAGAATATTGCGGATTGGTTTGAAACAACAGTTGGCATATTTCACGATACGCCAGATGTCATTAATGAAGATTCACGATTGGCAGCGGTTGTTCACCAACTTCATGGACTAGGAATGTTTAGCTCGTTTATGGAAGATCTTGTTAGTGAACACACTGTTTATGAGTTATTAACGGACTCACCGCAAAATTGACAATATAAATTTAGCAACCCCGAAGGAATTGTACGTGACGTTTTACATCAACCACCGCAGGTAAGGTATCACACTGCGTGTTAATCATTGTTGGCCAAATGTTTGTTTTTTGATAGTGAGTGGTACCAACGGGAACGTCGTTGGTGTTCCTATACGTTCACTAGATTTAATCAATAAATACAGCGTTCCTATGTTTGATCTTCTTCACAAAGTGAAAAAAACCGATCATTTTTTATGCATGAGCACGAACCCACGCTTAGTTATGCGATCCTGATTAAATTTCAAGAGAAAGTGGATGTTATTTTTTAGTTTTAGCTAAAAACAGTTCTTGCTTAACCTGAATATGTTAATGAGATTTCACGAAACAAATTAAGTTTGCAGCAGTTTTGATTTCGCGGCAATTAATGTTACAATCATCACTATGACTGAGGTTAATTTTACATATAACACCATCAGTGGTAGCTACGAAGGAACAGATTGGAGAAGGAGCGTTTATAAATGCTATTTATATTGTTTGGGTTTGCCCATCTTTAGGCTCTGGGTGATATGTTATCGATTATTTCCATGACCCGTGTATCTTTCATTCAGAAATCCAAACTTGTCAAATCTTGGTTTCCCAACTGTAGATAAGAACAGAGGCCGATAAATCACCCCCACACCCTTAATGATATTGACTAGCGGTTTGGGGATTGAGGTTGCATTTTCATTAACAATATGTAGACAATCTTGTCTGCACACATTGGTGCACATTTTATACACTTAATGGTATTTCTAGCAGATGTTGGGCTACCGTCAGCTGAAGGTTTATTATGTACATAATATTTCCTGATCAAATCCTAAGTTTAGCGACTTGTAAGTCCACCTGGAATAGCATAACCTTCTGCCATGTGGCCACTTTGACAATCGCATCAGAGTTAGCTGTTACCAAATACCGGCATGTGTCTAAATTGTAAGCAGGCGTGTTCTTTAAATATCTGAATGCATCAAAATTAAACTTTTTAATAAAAAGGTGACCTCAACTTCATACATTTTCGATCAGTATCAACATAGATTAGTGTATGATCCAAATTTAAACTTTGGAAGCCCTCAAATTTTGCATCATTTGTGATGTCAGGCGGAAACACGTATTATGTAATTTATCGCGATGACACCTGACTCGCACTATGAAGAATGAGATAAGAATCTTCATGGCAACTATGTAATAAGTAAAGTGTCGGTGTATAAAGTCCAATGATATTGTCACTACTTAGCAACTATTAAATTGCTCGTTTCTCTTATCTAATTTTGAAATATATGGACCAGGACTAAAATCTAGACACATATTGCAGATTTCCAAGAACGACTTTCGTACGTTGTACACGATTTATTACGATCGAAGTTAAACAATCAGTGTTGGACATGCACATCAAAGCACGTGTAGGAGGAGCCACTATCACCCCCAAATACAGAGCTATTATATCGCGATTTTGTAGAGTAGACTTTGGTGTTGCAGGACTAGAGTGGCTGGCTGCGAGTCATTGAATCGCTTGTAGAATTGAAGCGGTGGCTTCTTAACAAATAATGACCTACAAAGAAGTGAAGGTTGGCCTACGTCAAAAGCACTTTTTGAAATAATGGGTATAATACTAAACAATTGTGAGATCACATTAGAGCTTAACTGGAACGAACTATTCCTGTATTGTTTTCCCAAACACAACTTAAACAGACCGCTTCGGTGGCCTAGTGGTTAGAGCGTCCGCCTCAGATGCGAGAAGTCGCGGGTTCAAACCCCGCCAAGTCATACTAAAGACGTTAAAAATGGTACTAACCGCTTCCGTGCTTGATGTTCAGCATTATGAGATTAGTGTTGGGACAGTGCTATACATCATTTTAAACTGCCACTCTGCAGATCTCGTAGTGATATGACTGACAAATTATTAAAGATTCGTTAAATATCCAACACACATACACACACACACACGTATGTTAGACAAATTGATAATAGTGATATATTTAGCAACAGAAATTTGTTGGGACCTTTAAGAGAACCAATTTGTTTAGTTTAATATCAATAGTTGTCGGAGAGTAAAACTTCTCCCAGTACATATAATATTAAACCCGTTCTTTAGCATGTACAGGTGATATCTAAGTATTTTGTAACTAGTACACTGCAAGTCTATGCCATACATCAGGTGCCTCAAAAAGAAAATCGTATGTTGTGGCCAGCAAAATGATTGGTGTTACAAGGTCTCATGAGAGATAACAAAGTTGTGCGGATCTTGGAAAATGTCATCACGAGACCCTCACGGGTTTTCAAGTTTGAGACCCCTACACGCTTAAATGATAATGTGAGCATGAAACCATGACATATACTGGAGAATGTCGTATAAAATGAAATTATGAGATTAGTGTTGCTATCGATATCAGAACAATTAACTGGAATGAACTAATACAAAAGCTGCGAAGCTGAACTTTTACCAGGAGAGTGTCAGGAGTAAACCCAAATAGTTTCAACAGCTGGAACGCGTAAATGTTTTGTCTGAGCCAACTATAAAGGGCTGGGTATCACTGATTGTATATGTAAAACTGAAAATAATTCACACCCTGTTATGTACAAAACCAAGGTGTCACAGAGTGTCAAAGTCGGTGAGTATAACGTCGACCGAAATCTAGAAATATCATAGTCGCTACATATTCTTTCTCGTAAAGCTTCGTGTTCGTCAAAAACTATGTGAATAATTAGTTTCCATTTGTTTGAGAAGTTAGGGCATATTTTTAACGTGCACAGTGTTACAACTTTTTGGTCTTAAAGTAGCAGAATGAAGCAAACACGATAGGATTATTTAAACTCACAAAAATTTATTTCTCTCCGTTAAGTGAAAATTTGAGAGGAATTTACGGTGTTATGAAATGCTTCCAAAGGTATAGAGTGTTCCAAATGAATCCAATATTGAACGTCATGATGTATCAATAGTCATGAAAAGTTGATATACAGAGTGTAGATTTCTCGCAATGATATAATCCAAAAGCTTGTGAATAAATTCACAATGATTTCGAGATAGTATTTTAGAACAATGATTTAATAAATAATTTGCATTTTCAGTGAGGAATATTTAAATAATGATTCATCTCAAATTATACTTGAACACAACTAAAAATGATTCCACAGACTGATCTAACTACAAACTCAAATAAAACGCCATAAAATGACCGGGATGTGGGGTCACAAGTTCGCTTTCAAAACATGCGAAATTTGTAAATAAGGCTAGATTTTGAACTAATTTATCAATAATCAACTTATCTATAATTTATACACATGATACACAAATGATAATAGGCATGTGGGTCACACCTCAATTACGGATAAAAGTTAAGTACCCAATACAATTTAAATATACATGACGACATAAGATATCGGGACAATAGCCAGCGCATGCTAAATAAGTGCCAAACAAGGAAAGAGCAAAAAATACAAGAAAAATGTTCTTTTCCAGATATCGCTATTATGGAGACTACACAGTCTTCCGAGAAAGGAACATGTATGCGAATCTTTCAGGTTGTTACTTTTATCAGCCCTAGCATACATTCGCACATATCCAATCAACTGCATCAGCTGCGGTTGTTACCTTTATCAGCCCTAGCATACATTCGCACATATCTGATCAATTCGCATATATCCGGTCAACTGCATTTATAGCATGTCCAGTTTTTGAACAACGCTATTACACTTCATCAAGAATTTCTATTATTTCTCAATTCTCTATGAAATAAATCAGACATAACTTCACGACAAGTAACACTTTTGTTTTGTTATTTATGCAATGCATACATTAAACACTTTAGGGCAAAGCTTGTGCTAACTTATTAGTGCCATATCACAGTCATATAGATTCAAGAGATTTTTGAGGCAAATGGCTGACGATATAACACCTCGCATTTTCCAATGTATCATTATATTTCACACACACACACACACACACACACATATATATATATATATATATATATATATATATATATATATATATATATATATATATAAAGGAATAAAGATATCGAGCTTTGATTGGCGTGGTACTTTTGTATTGATGTGTATTGTAATTGTTTATATTGTTAGACTCCGATCTTTGAGAGTATAATTTCTAAGGTTCTGCCAAGATGCCTTTTCACCATAATTTCTGTTTTAATTCAACCTCTTGTGTTTATTGTCTGTCTGGTTTTGCACCACTTCTTCGTTTCTGCCCGATGTCTTGTGATTATGCTATGAAGTTGCATCATGTAAGCGACTGGAAATTTGCTTCAGTAAATCAGTGAATCTCTTTTTTTCATATAATTAGTTTCGTGAATCCAATATGCAGCAATGATTTACTTGACAAGTCTTGGAAAGCTTCTGCTAGGAGAAAACCATATGAGCCGCAGTATTTCTGAATCTACGTGTATTTGAATCCTGTGTTTTCAGTCCCGCACCAAACGAATTCGGTGTTATGTGCAGCAGCGATTCAAAGTCATGTATGCACAAAGGACTGTACATGCATTAATACACCATTCCCTATAGTTTTTCATCTACAAATAGGATAATCTCTAAAACGATTCTTTCTGCTAAAGTAATTTGTTTGATTATCAAACAATCATGGTTCTCTAAACCGTTGTATGTTATATTGCATGTTCATCTGCTTGTAGAGCTGTTCCCTATTTGCTTTTCTTAAAGTCCTTTTGCGCCCCCATCTAGGTAGTATTATCCAAACATAAACGCTTGCATTGCCATTGAATAAAAACAATATAGCTAGCAAAGCTGTTGATATTGTCTGCTTGTTGTCAGTTTGGTGTGCAATAAAGGCACTTAATAGTGAAGTTTTAGACGTTCTCGAATCAGCATTTACAAACAGGTTGGCTACTTAAGTTATGACATATTAACAGAGTAACTGACTGACTTACTAACAGCTAAGAAACGGTCACTATAGATGTCGTCAACAATTTCAGGTCCTAAACCATTAGGAAATACTTTGAAGTTATAGCAGTCCTTGGCATACCTGTACGTAGCACTAAATGTGTTAAGTGTTCATTCTCATGGTTAATAAATCTTGGGTGCAATTGGGCAACAAAATTTTAGCCTTGCTGATTAGCATGCGTCCATACCAATTCATTTAAGATTTCGTTATGATTTACAGGGTTCGTGATTTTTATAAATTAAACATCCATTAGATCTCCGTCAAATAACGTTTCAATGGGAGCAATGCATTCCTGACTGGGAAGATGGTAAGGCTGAGAAAAACAAATATGTTGAATCAGCAGGATAAGTCATTTTTGCAACGGTGACCATGTTCAAATATTAGACACGTTTAAACATCCTAGGCAACTGACATATTTTTCTGTTTAAATCAGAAGGAAGACTAGTTATGGCATAAATCTATCACGACTAAGGTCTGATATTGAATGTTCTAGACGATCCAGATAATCAATTGATCTTTCAGCACTTTCAACAATGATTTATCATTTGGTGTTTGGCCATAACCATGTTGCATTGTAGTTTTTGACTAATATGAAAGCTTTGTATAATAAACATATACAAAAAATTTTAAAAAAAAATAAACTATTCCACCTGACCTATGACATCGCCACCAGGACATGGTCACTTTGTATGGCAAAATGATACATAATATAGCTTTTGTGTGCTCATATTTATATACATCAGACTAATGTTGGGATTGGAGAGAGAGAGAGAGAGAGAGAGAGAGAGAGAGAGAGAGGTTTACGTACCTGGACAATTATATACAAAGAAAGCTGATATTTCATTAAGTATTATTTATGCTATTATGCTCGTCAAAATAATGCAATTATTTTCTGTTACATTTTCATCTCACGAAACAAATATAACTTATATCATCTTTACACGTGACGTGTGTGTAATGACGTAGGGGTATATTTGATATGACTGGTCGACTTCCTAGAAAGATATTGAACGTTCTAGAATATTAGACAGTGATAAAGAAGGGATTTCGAAATATTTAGTCGACATCAAGCAAGAACGTTCCGTACAGAAATATATGAATTAAGTATCCTGTCAAAGCAGACAAGAACTATTTTAAAGAGTAAAGCTCGGCCGTTTCAGTTTATATCAATTTTTCCCTTCTGCAATTTTTCAGATTGGAAAAGGTTGTATTTCATGGGAATATCTGGCAAATAAAGCCTTGTGGCACGTTGCAAAGGTAGTCGTTCATCAGGTAGTTGTTGAAGTAGCTCCTCATCTCCAGACAACTCTCTCCTCCTAGACCGTCAGGTTGGCCTCCTAACCAGAATGGGAATGTGCTAGAAAGGGGTTTTCCTTTCACGGTTACGCAGTTAGATCCAGGTGTGTTAGTATAACCTCCAATCCAGAAGTGTTCGCACTTTCCTGAAATGATGAAAATGCTATAAAAACCAATCATAATACCATGCGTTGTTGATAAGCACAGTGGTAATTACTTCGTTTCCACGTCAACGTTTACTGTCATTATTTAGCTCCTATGTTATTTTTCGCTGCTCTGTAATAACTAAAACTTAAAGAGATGTGATAAGACTTTCGAATCAAACATTGGCTTAATGGAATGCTGGATAGATCAACAGATTGTTTATTTGCCTCTGGCACCAAGCTATAGGTTTTGACATACGTAAGTTTTCCCATGATAAGCCGGGCTTCAATATTTGTCTCCCCTTGAAATTTACACATTAAGAGGAGGAATGTTAGATTTTATGATACTTGCGAGACAAGAGAAAATCTTAGAAACTTTGATGAAACTCAATGTATAAACAGAAATTGCTACA